ATCTGTCGCGTACGTTATGTCCCGTACGTTATTATAATTTTTTTTTAATAAAAACTAACCAGAGATAATTTCTATCAAAAAATGGAAGGATTGTAAAGGTACATTATTTAGCTTGGTTTAGGAATTTTTAAAGAAAAGAAAAACTCTCATGATTCGCATACTTTTGCATATATGTATATGTGCCTTAAAACCACTTCTTTTTTTGTCGCGTAAGTTATCACCTGGTTTTGAACGGATATTTTCCACACCAAAGTTTCTAGGCTGCTTATTTTTTTCTCAAACACAGTACCCTTTGGCTGCAACATAACCGTAATCTTTTTTTTCTGTAACTTCTATTTTTGATAGATTTACGTTACTCTATAGGCGTACGAATGTCGCGTACGGCTGTATGGAAACACCCATATGTATCAAGATATAAACTTTATCCTGTGGAGACGGGCAGTTAACGACGCCCGTTTGCTTCATCATAAATATATCCATACAAACATAAGTACATATGTACGAATGGATGTAGGTACGCGAAGCACGCTTGCATCATTTATACATATATTGCTTGGTAGCGGCAGAGCTGAAATGCACAATGAGTTCGTTCATACATACATATGTATATATGTATACATATCGTCGTTTAAAGTGCAAAACCGCGTATCAACAAAATTCAAAGCCGCGTTTCAGCAAAATGTAAAACCGCGTATGGGAAGTTGTAGAAATTATTTTTTAGAGCGTAAAAACACTCATATTTCAAAATGGTTCTCTTTTTTATAAAGCAATCGCATTTCTGGCTAGTATATTTCAGGCCGAATGGATAAGGACTGAGCCAAGAGCTTGTGGGCGCAAATCCAATTTTTGGCAGCCAATGTCAGTTACGCTGTTTTGCAGAATGACGATACGCGGTTTTGTACTTTAAACGACGATATATACATATATGTAGGTACTCGTATCCGTCATGCGTCGCTTTATTTCTTGTTTCCCCTTCCCTATACTACCTATATCTTCCTTCTCACTCATGTAACGTTTTCAGTTTTAAAAATTTCACTCTCCATTTTTGCGATACCGCCGTAAGAAGTTTCACTTCAAAAAAAAAATATTCCGACGAACTGATAACCTCCTCCTTGTTTGAAAGTCGGTTAAAAATAAGAAACGAAAGCGAATAAAAGGAACAATTTTTCATTCTCTTATGTCCCGCTGAGACGCTGCCTATCGAAATGAACGTAGCAATGCTTTGCTCAATGTAAAAATTTTAAAATCTTTCGAGGCAAATATTTCGAAAATGGTTCAATGAATCACCCAAGTACACCGAAACCCGCTGAAGTACCCCTCCGCTTAAGTACCTAACCCGCTTAAGTAACCAACATTTTTGGGCACCGTGAATTTTTTTATAGTAATCTGAAGAAAATCCCTCTCTTAAGTACCTCCCCCCTTATTTACCCAACCCGCCTAAGTACCTAACTTTTTCGTACCCCATTTCCCATTTTACTTATTATTTTCCCCTTATAAGTGCTCTTTTAAGATTCCTTAAAATACTTACATACATATTCTGAAATTCAGTGGCAGCGCTACACACCTTCAAAAAAATCAACGATAATTTTTAGCCACCTGAAACTTGCACATTTTAAACTAAAATTGAATGGGCAGTAAAACTTTATACTNCTGAAACTTGCACATTTTAAACTAAAATTGAATACTCAAAACACTCTTCTGAGAAAAAAGTTTGAAATTTTTATGAATTTTTTTTAAGTGTTCTACAAAATCTTAAGCTTAGGTTTATATGGTATATTTATACTAAAAATAAGTAAAAACAATGACTTCTTAAAGAATTTAATTCTTGTAAAAATACATACCATTGCTTTATCTATTTTTTTACAATTTTGTTTATTTGTTTATCTGTTTAGATAATGCTATGATCTTGGTTTTAAACTACGTATACTTTATTAAATGTTCATGCTTTAATCAAGGATTTGCATATTTATGCAAGTTAACAAGAAGATGTATCTACATCAATAATTATGTTCGCTTAAGTACCCGCATCGAGGTATTTTGCACATGTGATTTTTTTTACGTCTGGCGTGGTTTAAGGCATCTTAACATTGTACTATGTAGCTCGGTCCATATACGCATATACTTTAAATCTTGGTCCTTTCAGACCACTTGATCCTCAAATTTTCGCAGAACTACTCATTACTAATATATGCATATGTACTTTAAAATTAAAATAAATTTTTTTATATCTTTTCCAGATGCATCATACGATGGACCAATTGGATATGTTGGATCCAACGGGGCCAATGACGACGTTAGGGCCTATGTCAGAAACATCACTGACACCAACGCATCAGCATTTACATGGATCTTATCACAGTATGAACCATATGATGAGCCATCATCATCCTGGTGCACTGAGTGGGCATTCTTCGAGTAAATCCATTAGTTAATGCGTCTACGTGTCAACTTTAAGTGATTTATTTTCAGATCATGGACATTCCGCAGTACATCACCCCGTGATATCAGCTGCAGTGGCTGCAGCTGGTCTTCATCCAGATACTGATACGGATCCTAGAGAACTAGAAGCATTCGCTGAAAGATTTAAACAACGAAGAATAAAGCTAGGTAAAGGCTGCTTGAATTCTGCTCCTAACATCAACTCAACCCTATTTTGCTATAGGCGTTACACAAGCTGACGTAGGTAAAGCTCTAGCGAATTTAAAGTTACCTGGAGTGGGGGCGCTTTCACAAAGCACGATATGCCGATTTGAAAGCCTCACATTATCTCACAACAACATGATCGCGTTGAAGCCAATACTGCAGGCGTGGCTCGAAGAGGCGGAAGCACAAGCGAAGAACAAGCGAAGAGATCCGGACGCCCCCAGTGTACTTCCAGCGGGAGAAAAGAAAAGGTAGACAACGTTTTGGTTAATAGAATAATTCCGTTTTTACTGACACAAAAACAAGCAACACCTTTGTTTGTTAGGTTAGTCTTTCATTGTCCAAAGTCTTGCATATACTTACTCACATATACATATGTACCTACATATGGATATTTACGTATGGATATTTATGTACATTGGACTGCATCACTCCCTTCACCGAAATATTTCGGAAAAATATTAAGATTTACGTAAGCTGGACCGATTTGAAAATACCTTCAAAAAATTTAGTTTTTTGTGAATAAAAACAGTTTTTTAAATAATTTTTTGCGAAAAATCACCTTAGGTGACAAAACAGTTTAAGCTTAAAAAATTTGCATACAAATATTTAAAAAAGTTTTCAACGGAATCGCAATAATGAAATTTTTGATACTGTTTTTCAATTTTTTTTAAATACTGGTTAAAAAAAGCTTGAATAACTCAGCCTAAACTCTACCGATTTAGACTTATGATGTATCAGTGCAAAGGAAATGTCTCACCTTTTTTATTTCTTTGAAAATCGGCTCAATTTAAGCCTCATTCCATGTTGAATTAAGATATGTTGGTATTTGATAAAGAAAAAATTAGGACGTGACTGAGTTTTTTGCAAAGAAATAAAAAGGGTGAGAAAATACCTTTCCACTAATACCTCACAAATCTATATCGGTGTAGTTTTGGCCCAGTTTTTCAAGTTTATCTTAAACAAATCTTAGAAAAAAGTTAAAAAAACAGAATCAAAAATCTTATTATTAGGATTCCGTTAAAAAAAATTAATATTTTTATGCAGATTTTTAAAGCTTAAACCGTTTTGTCATCTGAGGAGATTTTTTCCAAAAAATCCTTTAAGAAACTATTTTTATTCAGTCTATTAGACTGCATCACTCCCCATACAAAAAAATCGTTAAAGTTTTTCCACTGGAATTATAAAATCTATTATATTTTAAGACTTGGACCAAAATATCCCCCCAAAATATTAAGATTTTCGTGAGCTGGACCGATTTGAAAATACCTCCAAAAATTGATTTTTTTATTAATTAAAATAGTTGTTTTAAAATTTTTTTGAAAAAATAACTAAACTACTTGACTAAATAGTTTAAGCTAGGGCTGTGCGATTAATTGATTACTCAAAATTTTAATTAATCATAAAGTAAATAACTCAATTATTCGATTAATTGGAAATTATGATTACTCAAAAGTTCAGTTACTCGAGTAATCAAGATTTTTGATTAACCAAAAATAAAAATATTTGAGTAATTTGCTTTATGATTAATCAACATTTCGAGTAAAATGAGTAATCAACATTTCAACTCTTTACATATGTATAAAGTAGTTAAAGTTCCTTGATACTTTGAGAACAACCAAGGCACATTAAACAGGTAGTATCAGTAGAGCAAAAACAACATTTGCGTGTATTTTGTTGTTGCTTCTGGTATCGAAAGTGTCAAAAACTGTTCTGAATTTTTTCTTCTAAATCAAAGCGTGCCATGTCAAATACAAAAAACTATAAAAAATAAAAAATTGAAATTGGAAAAAATAAAAATTGATGCAACTTTCTTTCCTAGTAAATTTGTTTGCTTCTCGAAGCATTGATCCATCCTTTGCAAGGCTTAGTAATCAGCGCTTGTGCTGCTGAGTTGGGCGAACGTTCCAAAAGCTGCTATTCAATCGCTTGTTTTGTATGGAAAAAGGTTTCACATGCAAATGGATTTTAACAATTCAGAATTTTTGTGAGAAAAAATTAAAAATATTTGACATTTTCGAGACCAAATAATTTGAAAATAAATCAAATCAGCTGCTCTACTGATACTACCTGTTCAATGTACCTTGAGAACAACGTTTCTGTTTTCAAAAATTAAAACGAAAAATTTTTTCATATACAGAATGTAAAAAGAAAATAAGCATTTTCCAAAGTAAACTCTTTTAACGAGCAAATTTATTTTTTTGAGTAATCATATTTCAAGTAACTCTATTGATCATTGTTTTGAGTAATCAAAATCTTGATTACTCGAGTAATTGATTAACCGAATAATTGATTAACCAACTTGCTCGAGTAATCGAATAATCGCACAGCCCTAGTTTAAGCTTAAAAAACTTGCATAAAAATATTTTTAAAAAATTTTCTACGAAATCATAGTAATGAGATTTTTGATGCTGTTTTTGACCTTTTTTCAAAGACTGCTTTAAAATAAACTTGAAGAGCTCAATCAAAACCTTACCAGTTTAGAAATAAAAAGGGTGAGAAAATACCTTTCCTCTGATACCTCTTAAGCCTATATCGGTAAAGTTTTGGAGCGGTTATTCAAGTTTTTCTTACACAAATCTTTGAAAAAAGTTAAAAAATAGCATCAAAAATCTCATTACTATGAATCCGTTGATAAAATTATTTAATATTTTTACGTCGATTTTTAAGCTTAAACTGTTTTATCATCTGAGGGAATTTTTTTCCAAAAATCCTTTAAAAAGCTATTTTTATTCATAAAAAACTCAATTTTTAGAGGTATTTTCAAACCGGTCCAGCTCACATAAATCTTAATATTTTTCCGAAATATTTTGGTAGAAGTCTTAGAATATACTAGGTTTTGTAATCCTGCCGGAAAAACTGCAACTTTTTTTGGTGATGCAGTCTAATGTACCTACATATATATGTTTGAGTGCGCGTATGTACATATATATGTATGTATGTACGAACTCATTTCGCATTTCAGCTCTGCCGCTACCAAGCATCTTACTAATATTATAAATGTGAAAGTTTTTATTTTTGGATGTTTGGGAAATAATCACGCGGAAACGACTGAACGGATTTGCATGAAATTTGGTACGCAGATAGCTTATGGGGCACATTGTTTAATAGGCTATTTTTTTAAAGAGTTGCCACCTGTTAAAAAGTTTAATTTATTTAATATGCGGGAACGACTGAATGGATTTGCATGAAAATTTGCACACAGATAGCTTATGACCTAGATTGGAAAATAGGCTACTTTTCTTAAGAGTTGCCACCTGTTAAAAAAGTTTCATTAAATTAATACGCGGAAACGACTGAATGGATTTGCATGAAATTTTGCAAGCAGATAGCTTATGACCTACAGTGGAAAATAGGCTAATTTTTTGGAAGAGTTGCCACCTGTTAAAAAAGTTTAATTAAATTAATACGCGGAAACGACTAAACGGAGTTGCATGAAATTTTGCACACAAATAGCTTATGACCTAGATTAGAAAGTAGGCTACTTTTTTAAGAGTTGCCACCTGTTAGAAATGTTTAATTTAATTAATACGCGGAAATGAGTGAACTGATTTGCATGGAAGTTTTCACACGAATAGCTTATGAGCTAGGTTGAAAAATAGGCTACCTTTTTTAAGAGTTACCAC